TCTGTGAATTTTGTATATAACGAAGGCGTATTTTAGCAAGATAGGGTGTTTGGTCATAAAATGTTACCCCGTGTGGGCCTGAGGTCACACACTCTGCTACGTATTTACACAGTCTACTTTACGAGGCTGTGTTTATTGTACACTCACGCTGTGATATACAGCTCTTGCGGCTATCACTCGGCAGCAGTGTGGTGTTGTATTCATCTGTGAGACGGTAAGCTGTACAGCATTACGCTGCCTGGTTTATGAAGGAATGGAGAGTTGGTCAGACAACGACGGACTCTGTGCACCTATACAGAGTGTCTCTGCACGCTGTCAGAACACCAATACAGGATAGACCCGAGTATAGCAATACATAAGAAGAGTTTCCAGTGAGCGACAAGTACACCAGTTGGTTATGGGCACGTATACAGAATTTGCCCACCAATAGTTATGTACCTCACTAACAAGTCAGTTATAGGCACGTATACTGAATCGACTCATCAATGCTATGTACGTTACTGCCAAGCTACTGCAGGCACATATACTGATCAACCTACCGATTTCTATGTACTTCACTATCAAGTCAGTTACAATTGAATCGACTAATCAATGCTATGTACCTCACTAACAAGTCAGTTATAGGCACGTATACGGAATCGACTCATCAATGCTATGTACGCTGTAGACATCATATGCACAACCTACCGATTTCCATGTACCTCACTAACAAGTCAGTTATAGGCACGTATACTGAATCGACTCATCAATGATATGTACGCTGTAATCATATTTACTGATCAACCTACCGATTTCCATGTACCTCACTAACAGTATTCTGAATCGACTCATCAATGATATGTACGCTGTAATCATAAATACTGATCAACCTACCGATTTCCATGTACCTCACTAACAGTATTCTGAATCGACTCATCAATGTTATTCGACTCTCCACAGGTGTGGGACAAGCTAGTGGATAAACTATTGTGGGTTGAGATATTCAGTTATCTGGATGATCTCAACACTAATGTGGCGGAGGACTGTGCTATTGGTATCCAATCAGGCAACTATACCTGACAAGTACGACATACAAACTAAGTAGTAAAGGTGTAACTAATTAGTAAAGGCATGAGTAACAAACCAAGGCATGAAAAATAAAGGCACAACTAATTAATAAAAACAAAACTAATCAATAAAGGCATGAATATGTCAAAAAAAGGAACTATGTATACTGGTGAAGGCAGGAACTAATTAATAAAGGCAGAATTGATCAATAAAAGCGTAAGTAAGTTAAAAGCGTATAATCAAGTAATAAAGGCGTATCTAAATATAGGCAAAACTGACTAATAAAGGCAGAACTGCTTAATAAGAGCAAAACTAATTAACAAAGGCATTTATAAGTTATAACATGACTAAATATAGGCAAAGCTAATTAATAAAGGCAGAACTGGTTAATAAAAGCAAAACTATCCAATACTAGGTATAGTTATTAGTAATAAAGGCAAAATCAAATATAGGTAGAGCTTATAGGTATGGCTAGCTTAAGGAAGAACTTATTGTTAAAGGCAAAACCAAGTATCAAAGGTATAACTAATAATACAGGCAGTACTGAGTAATCTGTGCTGAACTTGGAAAAAGAGGCAGAACTAATTGTCAAAACCAATTAACGAAGGCATAACAAAACAATATAAGCATAATTAACTTCTAAGGGCAGAACTGACTAGTAAAGGCGTAGCTAAGAAATAAACGAATACATACACGTAACTAATCGATATAGGCATAAATAATTAGAAAAGTATCACCAGTATATATTAATCATAATTATGTAGTAAAGGCAGAACTACTTAAAATAGAAGCATAGTCAATCTAACTATTGAAGCCAGGACAACATAAAAAAGTAATAATGAAGTAACAAATGCATAGCAAATAGATAAAGGCATAACTATTTGATGACATACGCATAACTAATTTATTAAGCCATTCCTGATAAACAAGACAAAACTTTCTAACAGAGGCATAACCAATATATAAAGACAATCAATTAATGATCTACGCATGGCTAATTTATTAAGCCATTCCTGATAAACAAAGACAAAGCTAACTAACAAAAGCATAACTAATATATAAAAACAACTAATTAACGATCCACACATAGCTAATTCAATTAGCCATTCCCGTTAAACAAAGACAGAACTATCGAACAAAGGCATAACTTATATACAAAGACAACTAATTAACGATCTACGCATAGCTGATTTATTAAGCCATTCCTGATAAACAAGGACAAAACTAACAAAGGCATAGCTAATATCTAAAGTCCACTAATTAATGAATATGTGCATAGCTAATTCATAACGGCGTACCTAATTGACAGACAAATTAAACTAACAAAGGCATAACTTGTTGAAAAAGACATTTAAACTAATTAATGATCTACGCATAGCTGGTTTAATAAGCCATCCCTGATAAACAAAGACAACCCTAACGAACAATGGCACAACTAATATATAATGACAACTAATTAATGATCTACGCATAGCTAATTCATAACGGCACACCTACTTGACAAACAAAACAAGCTAACAAAAGCATACCTAGTTAAAAAAGACCTAACTAATTAATGATATACGCGTAGCTAGTAATTGAACGTATACCTAATCAATAGAGACAAAACTGACTCACAACGGCATAACTAATAAGTAGACATAAATAAATAATAATATACGCATAGCTAATCAATAAAGGCATGCCTAATTAACAAAGACAAGACTAACTAACAAGGGCACAACAAATAAATGAGGACAACTAATAATAATGATATATGCATAGCTAATTAATATGGGCATACCTAATCAACAGAGACAAAATTAACTAACAAAGGCATTACAAATTAAAAGACATAGTATTCGCATAGCTAATTATTAAACGTATATCTAATTAATAAAGACAAAATTAACCAACATAGGCATAACTAATTAGTAAGCCATAACGAATTAATAATGTGAGGATGCTTACGACTGCGACCATTAAGTCTAACTTTTGATCTTGCAACCACTAAGTCTGATGCTTACGCATCCGTCAGATAAGTATGACGCTCAATCTTGCCTCCCATTCACTGGACTCATAAAAGTTGGTTTTTAAAAATATAAATATGTATATATATATATATATATATCTATATATATATATATATATATATATATATATATATATATATATATATATATATATATATATATATATATATATATATATATATATAGTATATATATATANATATATATTATTATATTATATATATATATATAATTATATATTATATATATTATATATATATATATATATA